ACAAGGAAGAAGAGTTCTCATATTTCCAAATGAAATGAGGCAAAACAAAAGAGGACCCCTTGGCTTGTGCAGAGAACTGAAAGTGTACATTACTAAGAAGTATGGCCATGTCTGTGCAAACACAGTAACTCATGTCAAATAAATTGTGCCTTTTGCAGGAAAGAACTCTAGCTCTGGGTTTTCTGAGCTAAATTGTGTGAAAACACACAATTCTTTTTCTTCTTATTTGAACTCTTAGATGACGGGGCCAAATTACCAGAAAGACCAAAGGCAGTTTGCAGCCTTTAACAACTGAAAGGACTTATTGCTTCCAATTTGGAAAATACAAAAGATTCTGTGTCTACTCCAAACACTCCCGGTCTTATGCATTTCCCAGTAGGACTTTGAAGAAAGAAAATGTTAAGTAAAGAGAATATCAAGGTTCTCTGGGAGCGTTCAGATGGAGACTATGTTGGCCAATGATAGATAAGCGGTTACTTCTGACTTCTTAAAAGAACATGAACTATTCTCTACCTCTGCTCAAATGTGGTCCTACTTCCTTGTCCTCTTGGCGTCCTTCCCTCCTCCTGGACCAGCAGGAATTGTCTTACAGACCCAATCAAAAGCCATTAAGTCTGTAAAGGTAGTCAAGCCCTGTGCTGGAGCTCCACGCTGAAGAACCCAAGGGAAGTAATGCATCTATTTTTCAATACCTGAGGCCATTTTGCTTCCAACCTTAATTGCACTTATGTATTGGCTCGACATACACCATCTGCACTCATCTTGCTCCGATTTCCACTATTCTTCTATTAATACAGAGCTTAGGAAACATAATTGCAGTGTGCAGTAGACAGCGATTTTCATTAACTACACAGAAGAAAACTGTTTAGGGAGAGACATTTTTTTTTTCCTATTGATTCAATCAAAATGACTTGGAAGAAAAGGTTGTACTTATTAAATTCTTTCCAAAAAGGTAGCTGTTAAAATTTAAATTCTTTCTCAACAAAAAATTGAGATTCAGGTTTTGTCATTTATGATTTTTTTTTTTTTTTGTTCTTCCCAGTTCCTTTGAAATTCGTGACTTTTTATTGGTCTTTTTTTCTTTCTTTTTTTCTTTAAGTGGAGAGAAGAGACTTTTACACGGAAACAGAGAATGTAATCAACGCTGCTATTTGCAAGACATGGAGTTGCCTAGCAATGCTAGGGGAATTAAAAGGGGGAAGCAATAACAAAACAGAATGTTGTGAAATTACAAGAGGGTGCAGTGTTAAATTGGCTTGCAATACTTACCAAGAGGTCTTCCAATGAGAATGGATATAGGATTTTCTAGGACTGGTATAAAAAAATACCTGGCCATTTTCAATGTTCTTTCCATCTTTCATTTGGAGCAGTTTACCCAATGGGATTCTGCTACTGTGAGTTCATTACTGGACAGAATCTAGGCCAGAAACACCGGACAATAAAACACAGCCTCATTGAGCCACTTGTATTTGAGTCCTTTCCAGTTGGACTAATTGAATATAAGATATATAAGCCTTTCACATTCTCCCATTGTTTTACAGGCTTTTGCTCACATGGCAAATGCTCTTCCCTTTGTTGCCCTCTCCCAGATTTCAGAATCTTCCTTTCAAGTGTACACACCAAGATAAATGGGGCTGCTCTGCTCATGACTCAGTCTCTCCCAATGCATGGAGTATCTAAGATCCCAATCCTGGGGGCACAAATGCAGACATTTTGCTGACACTGAGGTTGGCTCTGTCTTCCTCTTTTGCCTGAATTATGTTAAATCATTTGAAGAAAGATACTATATATTTGCAATCCTAGAAATTTCTCTGTATCTTCAGTTGCTATAAACTCTTGTCTACCAGAAACATGACATAGGAAAAAGGATTGGCTCTCACAGAGATGGCAGAAATGATGAAGGATAAAGAAATCCCAAAGGAATAACTATGGGATTATAAACTTGGGAAATGGAAATATGAAAAAGCTTCACGATGGAAAATGATGAGCCATGGGCTAAAAGCCATCCTTATGTCAGTAAGGGAATTTGTGAAAATTCTTATTAGGAAGAAAAGCACAGGAATCTGTATGTAAAGATGGCTTATAGTGTGGAGGAAATATATCTGAAGTAGAAACCAGGAGATCTGGGTTCTAGAAACAGCTATGCCATAAACTAGTTGTAGCTCTTGGAACTGAAGATTTGTATTTTGCAAAACAGGGCTGCTAGGTTATTACTAAGGTCCCTTCCAGCTCTCAGATCTAAATTCCAGAATTCCAAGCATGCTTTTGGTCAGAAGAACAACATCTCTAAAGCAGACCCATTTTTTTTTTTCCTTCCTCATATTGGTTCCAAACTGCAAGAGGAAATTGTGATAAAGTTTTAGGTGTTTCTCTACCTTTTGAAGTTATGCATTTATACTGCAGTCCCAAATGAGTTCAGAATTCTAAAAGGTTTAACATATATATATACGTATGTGTGTATGTATATATGTATATATATGTGTGTATATATATATATGTGTATATATACATGTGTGTGTGTATATATATGTGCGTGTGTGTGTAGACAAACACACACACACACACACACACACACACACACACACACACACACACATATAACGTTTAGTTCTCTGTCTTCTTTATTGATCCCCAGGCAGCAACGAAGTATTACCTGAAGATCTTTTGGAACAAAGTTTCACTTCTTGCTTTGGAACAGAGTGTAATCTGGTTGCTTGTTTGTTACCTGTTGATACTCCTTTTCCTGACTCCTAAGGAAGTCACTCTCTGAATCCATTTCCTTTTCATATTCCTTACTGTCTGTGGACAACTCATTTCCATGGCTTTGTTATTTCGTCTACTGTTCTAGCTCTGAACTCTACAAGCTCCAGATCTACAGCTCTTAATGATCTCTCCTAAGTATTTCAAATTCAGCTTGTCCAATGATCTCAGCCTTTTCTCCTTGCTAATGTAATCACTCACAGCAATAGCACCCACCCCCCTTCTGCTTCTTTGAGATTAATATTCCATCTTCTTCATTGATTCCATCAGTTAGCTATTTTTTTAAGTTTATTTATTTGTTTTGAGAGAGAGACATGGGGCGGCGGGGGGAGAGAGAAGAGAGAGTGAGACAGAGAGACAGAGAGAAACAGAGAGAAACAGAGAGAGAGAGAGAGAAACAGAGAGAGATAGAGAAGAGAAAATCCCAAGCAGACTCCATGCTCTCAGGGGCTCAAACCCACAAACCAAGAGATCATGACCTGAGCTGGAACCCAGAATCCGACACTTAACAAACTGAGCCAGCTACCCAGACACCCACGTCAGTCAGCTATTAAGTCTGATTTGTTAAAGTGCTTCTCACATCAGAAGTCCAGTTCTTAGTTCGGTGGCCACCACTCGAAGCAGACCTTTCTTTCCCCCAACTGAAATATCCAAGTCTCCTGACTCATCCATTCTTGCTTCTTACCATTCCAAACACCTGTGCAGACTCATTTCACAAAGCAGAGCTCCAGCCACCGCATTCTCAAACGTCAATATAATCAATCCCCACCATCACCAAGATACTCATAAAAGTAAGGTACTCTTCACTTCATATGTGAGGTCTTTTGAGCCCTCTAATGAATGAAGTTTGCCAGCCATCAGCTGCTATTCCACACCAATATTCTACCTCAACCAGATCAAACTTCCAGCTGAAGAGATACTAAGCTTTCTTTCATTTACTAATGTTGAGATCCAGGCTACTGAGACCCCTCTCTCTCCCATTTAGTGTAGCATCTATTACACCTAATTAAGTTACCTAGTCATCAATGTCCCTTTCAAATGTGAATGCTTCCACACCTTTCCTGATAATCCTAATTAGGCATACTCTTTTTTTTTAATCCTCCATAGGATAAGTGCACTTATGGGCATAATGGACTTCCACTTATCAGCAGGAATCAAGCCTCAGAGATTACTGTTTGTATCTTAGCCTTCTTTGAACACTCTGAAAGGCCATTAGCATATAGAAGAGCAGTGGTATATAGTTAATAAATGAAGCTGACTTGCAACTTCCTAATTATACTCAGGCTGCTTGACTTATTCAAAATCTGTCATCTAGAGAGTGACTCAGGACTAACAAAGTCAGTAATTTAGGGTGAGAGCAGTTTGGATTTAGGGTGAGGCTACATTTTCAGGTAGTCCGAGCAGCCAGAATTCAAAAGCATATGCAGTTTCTGTTATACACTAAAATTTAACAACTTACAAATTTTGGAACTTGTAAGTCCAATGATTTTGCTTTCAGTTCTAGCACAAGCCTACAGTAGTTTACCTAATGTCTTTGAGTCTCAGTTTCCTTATCTATAAGAAGGTAATGATGGTGTGATTTACACGAGGGCTGTTGTGATGATAGTGAGATAATGTGTGTCAAATATTTACATGAGACCTGGTACACAGTAAGTGCTCAGTAAACACCAGCTGGTAATCATTATTCTTATCACCACTCATCAGCCATATTAGCCAAATTAATAAAGAAGGTCCCTAAATTCTCTCATACTGGAGATCCCATTCAAATCTGGTAATCAAATGTGGGCTCTACCAGTTACCAAAAGAACCTAAAGAAGGCCCAGAAACCACCAACCATGGAGAATGAAGTACCCAAGAATAATATCTAGGGGGGAAGATCAGAGCAACTAAAATTACGCTGTTTAAAAACGTGTTCAGTAGATCTGCCTCCAAAAATATTTAGAATTAAGACAATGAAAGCAGTGACTGGTTGGCTTTATTTCCAGTGAGAATATTCACTTCCATCCCAAACCGGGTGTTAAAGTTATATAGAGCAGGATAAAAAGATGCCCATGTACCATAGAGGAGTAGACTAGCCAAGGAGCTGTGGAGTCATTTAAACACACGATTGCACTTTATCTTATATTCCTGGATGATGTTAATATGACCTCATTCAAATAAAGAACTGGTGGGTGCCTTTCACACTTATCCCCAGCAATGTAGCAACGTGAGGATCTGCTCCCATTGCTTCCCATTCTTACCTGAACTCTCATCCAGACTCTCCTCAGAGACGTGCTCATTTTGATGGACCCACTCGCCATTGCATTTGAAGAATATTTGCATGGCTGGTCTCGCTTTGCACCTCAGTGCGATGGGGTTGCTCTTGATGATATAAGCATCATCTGGCTCCTCTATGAAATGAGGCAGTGTCCCAGGAGCTGAGGGGATGGACTCGGGGAGGGCTTCGCCGTTGTCAGCTCCTGCGAAATTGAAGAGGCCGTTAGAATGCTGCCCATACTGACAGCACAAACATCAGGATGCAAAGCACAGCCCACACCGGCTCTAAGAATCTGTCCTGAAAAACACTGCATCATATGAATACAGTATGCACGTAAGGCCCGTGCAGATGACTTCTCATCTAGAGGCTGAACTATATAACATGGTACCATTATCCAGACACACCCTCAGGGTCACGGGACAAATGAAAATAAGGAATAGGAGACTCCCTCAAACCACAGTTGTGAGTCTGCAGGTCTTTGCTGAAAGAACAGAGTCAAGTATCTGTGGGGTGAGAGACTGATTCTGAACATCCAGTCTGGTGAGTGGTTACCTCAACGCCGGCCCCAAGCTGCCTCAAAACTTTGAAATGATGGTGGAAATAGCTTTTGTTCTCCTATAAATGACTGTGGATAATGACGATGTTGTCGGAGGGTACTCAGTCATAAGACATGTTAAAAACAAACAAAAAACAAATGCTTTCTCTACGTATAAAACTGGAGATTGGCTGGCATTCTATCTTAGGGTTTTCTCCAAAACCTCACCAATTTACTGAACATTCTAAAAGGAATGTACTTTTGTCCTGCTTGCCCATGGCTAAAAAATTCTCTGCCCTCAACACCCCCCTCCATATACTGTGAATCTCACTTTCAAGGCTATGAAGTAAACAAATCACTAAAACAGCCATAAGCTTTTACTTTTGGACCCATAATTACATTTTTTCAAAGATAAAAAATGGACATGACTCTCCCCTAAATTTAGGGAACTGATGAGAGAAGCAAAATAAAAAGAAAAAAAAAAAACAGAAGCCAAGATTTTGATTCACTCCCTCTTCACTACACTTCTCAAGGACTTAAGTCCCAGGAAACTAGCACAAAGTCAACGAAAGCAAGATCTGAACAGTGAGCACTGTGGAAATGACCAGGGGGAACAAGTGTGCCTTCAATGGCCATTCCAGGGAAAGAATGAAGAAAGCAAGAATTTCAGTACCCAGATCAACTGTGCCCTGGAAAGGGTTATTCACATTCAGAGCAAACCAGTCTCCAGGATGAAGCTGGAAAAAGGGACCTAGAAAAAGCACTGGGAGAATAATCCAGTTCATCAGGAGGGAGCCTAGGAGGTAGGGTGCGTCCAGGGACCTAACTTGGCTCTCTGTGCACCTTCAGTGTAATTCAGGACAACAAACAGCCCTCTTACTATTTGCACTCAAGTCAACAACCTACATCAGTAAGCATTGTCAAAGGTAAACAGAAGCCACAATATTAGGGGGGTAAGACTTTAAGTTTTAGAGCGCCCTCTAAAACTAACCCCCCTAAAGGGGCTAGGACATAAGAGGTGTTACTGCCTATAATTATATTTCTGTGTGAAGAAGAAAACAAAAGACACCAAGTTGTGAAAAATATGTCTTGCCAGAGGGAACAAACACCATGTGCGCCACCATGATGAATGAAAACAAGAGTTTGATTCTCCAAATTATTTTTTCCCACAAAATACATCAACTTAAGGGCAAAAAACCTCACACACCAAAGAGTTTTGGATACTATGACCTTCCAAATGTATTTGCAATAGAAAAGCCAGCTCATGTGTAAGTAAATGGAAGTCTCAAAAATTCATCATAAAGCATGTACCCTAAATAGCAAGAGAACAGTTTATGTCTTAAAAGTACAATGAACTCACTCAGAAAATAAAATGTGTCTAGGACATATGGAATAAGAAGGGTCAGGACAGAATCTGAGAGGTATATTTTTTTTCTTCTTAAAGTTTTAAATTATATATTCAATAGGCTTCATAAAATAGATCATATATTAATTCATTTCGTTACTGACTGCTCATGCCAATTTCCATCTTCAATAAATACTAAGTCCCCTCAGGCTTTTGTAAATCCATGCATTAGAGGAAATGACAAAGGTATTAAGAGATTTTATATGGACATCAAGCAGGTTCCACTCCCATCAGGGCCTTGCGTTCTGTCCAAAGTAATTCATTGCTGCAGAAAAGGGTCACCTGATAAGGAATACCCAAACCTTGTGGTGGGAGCCTGAATGAATAGCCACCGGCATACATTTTGAATGATGCGTTTTAACTTAACTAGTAACAATGCACGAATTTCCAAAGTAACTCCTAAAACGGGGACAGGGAGCATCATAAATAACTGTCTCTAAATAAATAGAAAGGCCACCTTTATTCAGAATAAATAAAATGACAAAGGCACTAGATCACAAAATACATCAAGCTCACACCATCCAATTCACAAAACAGAGATCTGAGTGCAATTAGGTTACCCTCCCACTATTTTAATAAATACCCTTTAAATAAAGTAACAAGTTCGGCTTTTATGTGAAACAAAGCAGGAGAGTGGAATAGAAAAGTAGGTAGGTAAGTGTCCTGGCTATCTCCATTAAGAATCGATCAATCTTAATGTTCAGACAAGGGGAAAAAAACAAAAAAGGCAGACTATAACATTACATCTTAATTATTATTGAAGCCATGTCAAAGTCATGTATGCATAGGAAAAGGACCAGGATCCATGAAAACAAGAAACAAAGAGAAAAGGGGTGGCAGTGGGAAGGTGAGATCACAGGTATATTTGCATATGTATCACCATTTATTTGTATCCTTCCAACAAAGAAATGAAATAAGTGTGATTGATTGATTTAGTTTTCTACAGTGAAGTGTTGGGAATGGTGTTTACCTAACACTGTTCCCAAGCTCCACTTCCCTCCTCCAAGTTCCTCACTGGGCTCAGGATCAAATTCCTGCTCTTCAGATGGCTTCTGTGATGGTAGAAGGCTGGATTTTCCCAGCAGGCTTACCTCCAGGAAGATACCACTTCCCTTACCCCACAAGGCTGAGGGTCATCTACCTCCTTCTTGCACTGGAGAGACCTGCCATGCTCAACCCCACCTAGTGGCTTAGAACTAAATTGCTCATGAAATTCTCGGGATTCATCAAGCCAAAGGGATGTGATGGGGAAAAAAGGAGGTGAAGTGGACACTTTTCAGGCGCTTGGAAGTTGCTGACAGCACCTGTTCTTTGAAGGGGGTGGGAGGCAGCAACTTATTTTAATAAATGGTTTTAGAGAAGACTGCATGACTACTTTTGGGCTCCAGGGTAAATGTTCTTATAATCTCAATACATCTGCCACTGCTTTCTAATTCAGAGAAATGTTTCAAACCTGGTGTGACAAATGCTGCTGACCATATGACCCAGTTAACTGCCTTTTCCCATACTGCTTTTACAGTAGAGGTTGGAGAAATCATAAACTCAGTTTCCTTCTTTGCAGGTAGGAATGGTCATGTAACAACCATCTAGCAAATGAGTCATAAACAGAAAAATATCTGAGAAAGCTTTTATTTTCCTAATAAAAGAAATAGGTATGGTGGGTACTGTCCCTTCTCCCTTTTGTGCCTGCCTTAACTAGGGAAGATCAAGAGGAAAAAAACTCCCAGAGGAGCACAGAGCTACGAGCTCCAACAACGTACAGGCGGAAATAACACCACGAGGCATCCACCTCCAGAAAATTTTTAAAAAATATTTACTTACTTAAGCTACTAATAGTAAAATTTTCTATTTTTTTTCAGAAAATAATCTTCATTGCTACAATGAGATCTTCCTTTTTAAAATTTATTTATTTTTAATTATTTTTTAATTATTTTTTTAAACAATTATTATTCAGAGACAGAGAGACACAGAGCATGAGCAGGGGAGGGGGAGAAAGAGGGGGAGGCATAGAATCTGAAGTAGGCTCCAGGCTCTGAGCTGTCCGCACAGAACCCAACGTGGGGCTCGAACTCACAAACTATGAGATCATGACCTGAGCCGAAGTCGGTCGCTTAACCAACTGAGCCACCCAGGTGCCCCAAGATCTTCCTTTTTAAACAAAGCCAGAGCTCCAAGCTTCACTTTATTGAAATCCAACACTCTCAGTGCTAAAGAATTTGGGACAGGGGCATCTGCATGGCTCAATGGGTTAAGTTCCAACCCCTGATTTAGGCTCATGTCACAATCTCTGCATTTGTGAGATTGAGCCCCTCATCAGGCTCTGCACAGACAGCTTGGAGCCTGCTTAGGATTCTCTCTTTTGCTCTCTCTCTGCCCCTTCCCTGCTTGTGCTCTCTCTCAAAATAAATACATAAACTTAAAAAGAATTTTGGAGAGCTAAAAAACATGGGAACTAGGATAGCAGAGAGCAAAAGTAAGAGCTGTCATTTACTGAATGATTGGAGATAATTGTGATATGCCTTCTTCATGGATTAGGTCACTTAAGCTTCATACAAACTCTGTGGTGGGATGGTAAGTATCCGGTTTTATATTTGCAAAAATGCTTCAATTATGTGCCTCATCTAAGGTCATACAGCTGGTAAATGGGGCTCCACATTTGAACTCAGGTCTTGGACTCCAATCACCTCACAACTTCATTCTAGTCTGATACGTTGAGTGAGTGCCTTATGGCAGTAGCATGCAGTTGGTAAAACCAAGAGTAGATATAAAATATAATCTGTGTGTTAACTCACAGCTTGCATTAAGTATAATATACATCTTAAAGATCACTCACAGTTATCCTGTTAGCAGGACTGTGATTCCAGGTCAGAAAGGGTATATTATGGACACAGTCTAGAGGGGGTCTTGAGAAAAGAAATATTTTTATTTAATTTTTATATATTTTTGAGAGAGAGAGAGAGAGAGACAGAGACAGAGAGCATGAGCAGGGTAGGAACAGAGAAAGAGAATGATAAACGGGCTATACATGACCAGCACAGAGCCTGATGTGGGGCTTGAACTCATGAACCATGAGATCATGACCTGAGCCAAAGCTGGACACTTAACCAACTGAGCCACCCAGGTGCCCCAAGAAAAATATTTTTGAGAGAACAGCACAGTGAGTGCTTAACTAATTAAAATCAAATGACTAGCCATCCTCACTAAGCTCAGAAAACAAAGAAGGCAAAGAGTAAGTGCTAGAGAATAAAGTAATGAGAAAGCT